TGGGGAATTTGAAGGCATCTACAAAGAAAAGTGCAAAAACGGGGAAGACAACTTTCACAGTGGCATACGGAAAGATGTGTTTTCAGCTTTTTGTAGCCAGAGACAGAACATGCTCTAAAGGAGAAGGGATAGGGAAAGAATGGATGAGCGGAGTCCACCAATTCCCACCAACCACAATTAAATTCCGCCTCCAACCTTTTTCAAATGAGCTTTTATCAGTGCAGATTGACCGTTTGTCAATAGGAAAGAAGTGATAGTACTAGTCGTTTTGTGAAATCTTGTTAATCCGATAGCAGAGGAGAAGGTCAATAGTGTCAAGATTGAGACCCCTATCACGATTCAAGAGCAGGAAGACTGAAATTACCCTAAGAAAGTTTGGGTTAACTTGCAAGGGACAGAGCCCCAATTTGTTGAAAGCATAACAAAAGAATGGGTGTACGGGGGAACCTAATGACGTTCAAGTGAACGGCAGAGAATAAAACTTCCCCAGGAAGAAGACCCTCACCAGATTTCTCGTCTGAGTTTGTTGGGTAGACTCTGAAAGAAACGTCGCTAGGGATATAATTCTTGGATCGAATGGCGTTCAGGTTAGGGGAAGCCATGAAAAAGGGGAAGAGTTCTAGGCAGTAAAGGCGTCTCTTAAGGAGAGGTTTTCAAAAAAAAAAACTAACCTTGAAAGTTTGAGATGAACTCAGCAACGACACAGTAGCTAAAAATCGAAAAGGAAGGACTTGCCGGAAGAACTCGCCGGAGAAATTAAGAAGGATTGCCGGAATGTGCAGGAAAGCAACAGAGAGTAGAAGCGAGAAGTAAGAGGAAGGGTGAAGGTTGAGAGACCAGAATTTATAAAAGAGGAAAAGTAAAAGCGACATGAAACTCCAAAGGTTAAGGCAAAAAGTGGCACTGCAGATCTCGAAACTTGGGTTGTGCCAGCCGTTCGATTCCTCGAGTCATTACTCTAAGCCGTCAGACCAATATCGTGTCCTTTCAATAATCTCACCATCATTAATGAGGAAATAGATTATTGGGGGCAGATGAGGACACCAAAATGACCCGGGTTTGGTGTGATCCACATTGCATAGGATGGGTCGGGTGTGGATGAATGGGATGGAGCAAGTTCGCGCCGGATAGGCCCAGGTCCATAAAGTCATTTCAGAAGCCCATGTTATAATGAGGGAAGTCGAGTCTAGCCAAAAGAGAACAAGATAAGTCCAGCTCAGTGGAGGTTATAACCGTCTATAAATAAAGGGGGATTGAGAGGGAAAAGGTGTTGAAAAATCATTGAGAGTGTAAAGTTTATCTCTCTATGATTAGGGAAAAATTCTTTATACTTTCGGGCCCATTTGACCAAATCACTTACATTTAGATCAATTAAAATAAGTTACTAAAGACATAATAATTAATTAGGTCAAACTTTTCTGCTTTAGTAATCATTTTGAATCATGGTTCGTAGTCGCCATCGCATAACGAATTTGGACGAATATCGGTATAAATTAGTTGAATCAATCAATTCATAAAAGTGTGTAACGATATCAGATTTTAAAAAGAGTTACGAATCGACCGATACTTTGACATATCAGTCGGGCTAACCATACTTCGATCCAACAACATTGTTTTCTTTTTAAAGTGAATTTCACTCATGCATCCAGTGGATAGGCGGTGGATCGGAAGTCTTTGATTCCCCATTTCGGCCCGTACTTTAGGCCAGCATATCCCCGATCTAATAAAAATCAAGAAATTTCCGTACTTTTGAGATATGGGTACGGCAATGAGAGGGGACAACTAGCACTTTTGCATATTATATTAGACTCCATAATGATCAAGGAGAACGAGCATGCAAGTCAACAGAGCTAGACGTCACGTCCGTTAAAATCTTCATGTTAATTTGATCTCCATACTCTCTCTCTCTCTCTCTCTCTCTCTCTCTATATATATATATATATATATATTTTCTTCTTTTTCTCTTTCACATTGCATATATAATTAGTATGTGTTACATTAGCATTGAGAACTAGTTGCTACGCCTATAAATACTATACTTGATTGGTTTGGCTCCTCAACCTCAAGATATGCCAATAAACGTTAATCCCACCACAACAGACATGCTCTCCACTCTGATTTTGTTGTGCTCTCTTTCCCTTTCCCTGCTTTGGTCTTTTCTATTCAATTTCCATCCTTTACCAAGCTCCAACTACCATCAACTGCTGCAGGTCCGGATTCCCTCGCCTTCAACTTGCTCGGTGGAGGACCCTACACCGGTGTCTCCCATGGTAGAGTTCTCAAGTATCAAGGTTCTTATTATGGTTTCACAGATTATGCCATCACCTCATCCAATAGGTAATGTTCTAATTAACAAATTTTTTTTTTTTTTTCCTCAGAATAATTTTTGTTTACAAAAAATCATCAAAAGTTGTTTCTGTTTAGCCTTTTCTTTCTCTATTAATAATAATAACAACAACATCAAAACTACATATAATTTTTTATTTCATTGTTCAGGTCTAAGGGATTGTGTGATGGCACTACTAATCCAGACTTATCACCCACTTGTGGGAGGCCATTAGGTTTAGGTTTCAACTACCTTACCGGAAGCCTCTACATTGCTGATCCATATTATGGCCTCACAGTAGTCGGCCCAAATGGAGGTCTTGCAACAACACTTGCCACCAGTGCCGAAGGCGTGCCCTTCCGTTTTCTTGTCGCTGTGGACGTCGACCCTTGAACTGGAATTGTATATTTTACAGATGCCAGTGCAGTATATGAGCCAAGGTGCCTTTTTTTTTTTTTTTTGAGATGCTTAATTCACAAAGCAAATAAAACTTCATTTTCATAAAGATACAAGTGTATATGTACTAAAAGTTATTCTATAATTTCATTCCAGGTTACTACAATATTGATTGTACATGCACAAGTTATAGAAGTTAAGGGCATGCAATAGCTAGCTAGCTTTTCTTGTTATGCCTCTCTTTTTATATGTACCAGCTTACTAAAAAAAAACTAATTCCATAGAAAACTAAATAATATTATCAGAAAAGCAATTCAAACATACCACTAATCTTGTAAATTAATTCAATATTTTTTTTTTTTTTTTTTTTTGCAGAAATGTGACTATCTCCATTGAAACCGGAGACTCAACAGCACGATTACTGAAATATGATCCTGTAACAAAACAAGTGACGGTGCTGCTAAGGGGGCTCTCCGGGGCGGTGGGGACAGCAGTGAGTTCTGACAGCTCATTCGTCCTTGTTTCGGAATTCATTACCAAGAGAATCCAAAGGTATTGGCTAAAGGGTCCTAAAGCTAACACAGCTGAGATTTTCAAGACCTTTGACGGAAACCCAAACAAGATCAAGAGGAACATATTGGGAGATATTTGGGTGGCAGTGAACAACCGAAGCCAGCAGCCTATAGTAGTTACTAAACCTATGGGTGTAAGGATCAGTGCAAATGGTGCAGTGCTTGAAAATGTGGATCTTAGTAATGAATACAACAATGTTTCAATCACTGTGGTTCAAGAACAGCTTGTATCATTATATGTAGGCTCACGTTTAGCTAATTTTGTGGGTGTGTATAAGATATAACAAGTCTTGATCGAAATGGCATCATTATGATGTCATTAATATAATAATATTATGGTAATGGCGAAAGAAATTTAGCTTTTCTTTTAACATTTTCTACAACCTATTAAGTGTAATGTAAGACATGTGACGCATCACACAAGCTGACTGACAATCGTTGAAATTATTGTTTAAATAAGTCCAGCTTTACCTATCATTTGCTATGACCTGAATCATTGTTGATTAATATAGCGATCTTGTTCACTCTACCGAAATTTCTTCAATTACTTGATTTCATATTGCTCCATATATCTACTTTTGCGTTCAATGACTTTTATCATATTAATTTGAACTTATTTTTCTTTAATTTCTAATAAAAATTGTTTTACTTATGTTTTGAGGGCCTAAAGAACTACATTATAATTTTTACCAATTTAGCTCGCTTTTGTAAAATGTTTGAAAATGTTATTCCAACTTGGTTGGAGTTTGTTCACAGAGTTAATTTCATCAATGGAAATGATTTTGAAATAAAAATTTATACGGCCTTAATCCTTTTATTATAAAGTGAGACATTAGATTAATCCATTTCACAGAGGAAATATATAATTTCACATTTATTATATTATTTTATAGGTTATGACTCAAATCATTTCAGACATCCGCCTTCATGCAATGTAGAATTCAGCATTTATAACTGCAATGTTATAAATGCAATTTTTGAGAATCATACAAATCATTTTAAGTCTAGATATTAAGGGTGCTTGGTTTATTGAAAAAAAAAAAAAAAAAAAAAAAAAAAGTCTGTTTTGATGGAATTGTTTTTTATAATTACTTAAAAATAGTTTTAAATTTTTGAATTTTTTTATTATTATTATTTTTTTTACATGTAAAATGTCAAGAGAAAGGATGTGGTAAGTTGAACCTCGGCTCCCACACAATTCACGAAATGTCTCTATCAACTAGTTTATAAGGGAGATTTGTTTCATATCGAATTTGGATGGACAACTGAATGATTATATATGGGTTGGGTTGGGTCGGATCGCGAATCACCCAACCTATATATACTTCTAAATTCGATGTCACCCTAAATACTTGATCCAGAAGTGTCCAGATAAGCCTTCCCGGATGGGCATCAAGGTAGTGAGCCTACGTGTTACAACGATCCAGCTAAAATTATTTTGTATTTGATAAATCAAGTAGGCATGTGCAATTTTCGCGAATCATATTTTTGGGCTGAGAGTCCAACATATTGGGTTGGACTGTACGACTCGCTCCAAGACCAGATAACCACTTGGTCACCCGTGTGGCGGTTTATTATCCTCTCTTGTCGTCTCACGCTTGTTCAGTCAGCGTCTGTATCTTCAATCCTTGGATTGTAATCATTCAGTCAGCATCAAGTGATATTTATTTTATTTGTAAATTCGTCCCAAAACAATTCAATATTTCAAGAAAGCATCTGTGAACATGGGGATATTTTCACACAGCAAATCCCTTGTCCCAGTGTGTCAGCGTATGCATCGAAGCATTTTCAATATGACGAAGAAGACCTATCCTTCGTCCTCTTCTTCGGTTCAAGCTCTGTACGACCACTGTAAGAAGACTTTTACGCCCTCGGGAACACCTCCTGCTTCCTCTCAAGCCTTTAACAAGCTCTGTTCTCTATTGGGTACATTTGACACCCCTCTTTTCTTTTCAATTTCTTATTTTATTGGAATTATCTACATTATCCCGGGCTAATCTACAAATCTGACTCAATTTTGCATATGGGTTTGTGCTTAATATGTAACATTTTTTTTTTCATTTTGGTTCCATGTTGAATTTGAGGAATTGAATCGATATGTATATTATATATATTGGGTTAGGCTCCACTCTTAAGTAATTGGTTTAAAATTTTTATTCAGAGGAAGATATGGTCTATTGGGTACACTTCTAGTATGGAGAATTTTGTGTTCTGAACTTTTGTTTGGTTTTATTAACTGCCCGTTTTCCAATTGTTTGATGATATGCTTTAAATTTATCCTGCAATCTGTAAATTTTAGGAACTTCTGTATGAGAGAATTGGGTGTTTCCATTGGATCAAGCGGTCAATCAACAATCAAATTACCACTTCCTTTCATTTTTTCCTCGGTAGAAAATTCTTTTGCTTTCAATTTTTTTTTTTTTTCCCCCCTGTAGTGTACAGATGTTGGCGACACAGTGTTGCTAATTGTTAATTGCGCTCAATTACCTGGAACACAAATCCTCATGATTTGTTGATCTAAAATGTGGCACCATGATTTAGAAATGGGACAACTGTCAAGAACATGGACGTTTCGGTCCTTTTTCTTGTTCTGTTGGACATGCATAAATGCAAAATTATGCCGTATCCACTTGGTTTGGTTATGTAGAATTCTTGAATATTCCTGAGATGGCCCAATACTCGCAAAGATTACTCAGGAAAGACAGAATAAGTTTCAGAGTTGTGGGAGGCGTTCTAAATGTCCTATTTTGTTCTTTATTTGGAATGGAAGAGTTTGTTGGTTTGGTATTGTGCTGTAATGTTGGAACAGCTTCTAATAAATGTGAAATAGTCAAGCAAAATGATAGTAGTTGAATGTAGACAAATGCATAAAAGATGCTGTAGATATGTGCTCTTGTACATGGAAATTAATTCATTTCCCCATTGAAAGATGACTAAATTTCTTTAGAGAAGACACAACAGATATTGATTTGTGACATGGTTACCACACAAAATGGACACGGCAAAATGACAAAATCCAAAAAATTTGACATTGACACGGTGAATATTAAATTTATATTTTCATATACGTGAAATTAGGAATTAAAAATCGGTGATTTAATGAACTACAACAACAATTCTTTCACTTAATAAGCAAAAATGGGCTTACTTTAATTTCTAAACTCTTTATAAATTTGTTGTAAATCTAAGTTCATAACTAAACAAAAGATAATAGTTGTATAAAGAGGAGAAAGAAGGGGGGGAGACAGAGAGAATAGATTGAAGTCAAATTTCTAGACCTTTTAAAAAATTACAGCTTTTTTGAGGAAAAGGAAAGAAAATTCTAGTATGAGAGAGAAAATCAAATGAAGAAAGAAAAACAAGGAAATTATAAGAATTAAGGTTTTGTTGAGAAAAATAGTTCTTTGTTGATAATAAAAGAGAGAATCTGTAGAGGAAGACAGGTTTGTGATTGGAAGAAGAGGACAAAAAGAAAAGGAAATAAAATAGAGAGGATTTTTTGAAGCAAAAGAAGAAGGCGGCTCGCTGACAGTCAAGCTTCAATGATTGGTAGTAGTAAATTCGAAACTTGGTTGCAAAAGAGAGCAATAATTGTACCATTTTCTCTTTGTGGTCTTTGAGATTTTAAACAAATAAGAAGTATAATAAAAGCAAGTAAATAAAGATGCTTAAAACCCATTTTTCCAATTTTTTTTTTTTTTTTTTTTTTTTTTTTTTTTTTTTTTTAATCATACCCATGTCTCTGCAGTGTGTCAGCGTGTTCGAAAAGGAAAAATATTTAGACACTCTTTTTTGGCATGTCCAATACGTGTCTGGCCGTGTCCAACCTGGAACCTTCGATCCTTTAGGTATGTCCGTGCTTTCTAGAGTGCCAGTCAGTTGTTTATGATTGTACTTTCATGGAAACTTGTCATTATCCAATCAAGCAATCCACTGTATTGATTGTAATGAACAAATTGGGGCTTGTTTGCATGAGCATAAACTTTTAAAGTGGTGAGGAATTTAAGAAATCCGTTACTGTTGACTTTCTTCTGATTTACTATTGATTTGTTTTGAAGAGCTGTTTAAAAAAATTCTGGAGGCAGGTAAAGAAAACAAAAGTATATTAATGAAATGCAAATACAATTGGTCTGCTTTTTAGGTTCATGGCTAGGTAAGGGCAAGATACAGGCATGGCGCAAACATTGGCTAACATTGGTTGATAGGTTGGGAACCCTTCCCTGTCAAGTATTCAGTGTAAACACATGTTACCACACAATAAAGATTACAAATAACTGGAAAAAAATAACTGCAACTCTTTTTTTTTTCTTTTCTTTTTTCACACTTTCATCATCATAATTCATTCCGATTGAAATTTTAACCTAAACTCTTGCATTATAAGGATCTTCATATTATATATATATATATATATATATATATATAGAGAGAGAGAGAGAGAGAGAGAGAGAGAGAGAGAGAGAGACAAACACACAAGAATCATAAGCTTTAAGGATGTGGGAATTCTCAATTGTCTGAGAATTGCTTTGTGCAATAATAAACATGCTATTTTTCAATATGTTGACTTTAGGCATCAGATTCATCATGGTTATACTGTTTTGCAGACGCAATTGGACCTGCTGATGTTGGGTTGAAAGAGGAATACCAAGAGGATGATAGAGGTCTTGGCCTTTTTGGACTTAATGTATTAAATAGGGTGGGTCGATGGGCTCAACCAATAACCTATGTGGATATACATGAATGTGATAGCTTTACGGTGAGCCTACCTTCTTCTTACCCAGTCATCTGCATTAAATTTTGTCTAAGCATTTGATTTAAAATCTACTCGTCTGCATTAAATTTTGGTTTCTGCTTCTTTGTATACCTCCCGTGTACATGGGTTGCACTCCCCTTTTTGGCACTTTTTTGTGATACTTATATTATCTCAAATGCTCTTCTTATCTTGATAGGTGAATTTGAAAACTATCGCCAGGCGAGTGAACCAAGTTTGGATTTAATCAAAATAATCTAAATATGTCTAATTTTTGTAGATCCAGACAAGTTACCGGATGATTGGGTGGTATCACATTTTCATTTTCAGGTCCTCCCTAAAGTTGCCATGCCTCCAATGTATATGTCTTGTATGCATATAATATTGATTTCATGAATCATCTTGCACATAATCTGCAGTGGGGCATCAACGCATCTGTTTGATTGCCTAGAATGCTAATAGAGGAAGTGAAAATTTTGAAACTCACCAATACTTACTTCAGAGCAGCTGTTATGCTTGCTAGTTTCCAATTCTAATTTTTTCCACACAACTTCTTACACTTGAATTGAGAACTATAATAAAATATAAAGTGTTGAAAATATTACAGGGTTACAGGCAGTGAACACTTAACCGTGATCATATTATAACTACTCACACTATGGACGGGAATATTTTGATGTTCAGTAAGATCAGCCTGACCCATCCATTCTCTAGCCAATCTTGACTCAAGCCCTCCACATTCGATAGATTATGAGAACATTAGGGAATAATCTGGAATTTAGTCGTGCAATACTTAGCATACTGTGTTGTCCTATGTTACATGGACTTGGGTACGTTTGTCCGACACGGGTATGTATCCATGTGTCGGACATGTCAAATCTCCAAACAAAAGGACACACGGGCACGGCTAAATATTTATTTTATTAATTATTTTATTTTGTTTTCTAGAGTAAAGTAATGTTTTTATCTAATAAAATATTCAATATAGCCATTTAACTCATATTAAAGTAATAATATAATATAATTAAATGATTAGATATGCTTTTGAAGTACATGTCCAACCAAAAGTTCGGACACATATCCCATACCCATGTCAGAGCAATATGTGTCCGACACTGGTACTTCGCTACTTTTGAAGAGTCCATGTAACATAGGTGTTGTCAATGTATAGCTAGAAAGCTGTGGTCCAAAAGCAAACATTAGTGGGTTCCATGAAAGAGATCTGTGACTTTAATTGAGTAGTAAGCAATGGCAAAAGCAATTAAAATTAAAGCACATATCTGATTTTCGAAAATATTTCTATTATAAAGGTGAGGTTTCACAATCTGACAGATTAACAATTATTTTTGGTTCTTATAGTTTTCCTAGCTTTAAAAATTACTTCAGGTTCATTCTAAAGTATAAAAATGATTTATGCAGATGTGTGTCTTCTGCTTCCCCACTTCTTCAGTTATTCCACTCCATGACCATCCTGGGATGACTGTTTTCAGCAAAGTTCTCTATGGCTCATTGCATGTAAAAGGCTACGACTGGGTTGAGCCTGTCCGCATCCAGAAACTTAATGAACCAGGTAACTTCTATGTCTGATCTTAAACTTGTTCCAAAATTATGGGTTTAAAGTTTCAGAGATCTACAAACCTAAAGTAATTTGTGTTTGATGTTTGTCCACATCTCTAAAAGTTTACTATGGAAACTTTGCCCTTTATTAGGAATAATCATATAATAGAACTTTTGAAGAATCCTAATGACACACGATTTAGTTTCTGCAGTTCTGTACCGTCATTATTACATTCTTTCATTTATCTGGATCTGGATAATTTACTTTAGCTTATTTAAACGTCCTAGAAACTAAACCATCTTGATGGGAAGGAACATCAACTCAACTATGTTGTTTCATACAGCTTCTCTGTAATCTTGGCCATGAACTATCTATAACTATGTTACATGGCCAAAAATGTCTGTGAGATTTCCAGCATTAATATTTGCCTGGCCGATATATATCCAATCAATTACATGTAGTTGATTGGACATAATCACAGCAGGCAAGATTAGGTGGTAATCACCAAATCATTCATGTTGCCCAATAAATGACTCGCGCGGGGGGGGGGGGGGGGGGGGGGGGTTGTCAATTTTCAATTTCAATTGATGTGCAATAGCAAAGTAAATTTCTTAATAATAATTAAATAAAGCAATTTGAAGTCTAAGTTACACCTATCAGCAATTATCAAGAAATAAATTCAAAAGAACTTGAAGCAATAGATATAAGAGATAAAGAGAGAGATTGCAAACAAGTATTCGGCGATTTTAGAGAGGTTCGAAAACTCCTACTCCTCGGCTCAAGACCCCTCTTGAGACTTCCCAATCCACTATGGCACCTCCTTACTGGTGGAGAGCAAACCTTTTACAAGAAGCTCTTCCTTACTTCTAAGTGCTAAGAGAAACACCTTCTCTTAGTCTTCCTTAGGCCACACCAACCCTTACAAGAGTTTGAAAAAGATTGTTGAAGTACAAGATGATCTCTCTTAGATCTAAGGTACAAGATTCAGCTCACTCTAGAGTATGTATGAATAAATTGAAGCTCAATACTCTTTGAAGATATGAAATAAGTGTATAATAAAAAGGTTATAAGATTGCAAGGATATATTTTTCAAATGAATGCAATACCTTTTTATGAAGACCACAACTCATTATATAAAGTTTCAGATGAGTCTGATATGAATTCTAGCTGTTGGACACACACTTCGAGGAAAAATGGCCGTTCAAAATTTGAATTCTCGCTGGTTCGGTCGTCCGAAATAAAACACTCATGAGGTTCGGTCGACCGAAACTGTTTGAGGTTGGCCAACATACTTATTTCGGTAGACCGATGGGTTCCTACTTTTGTTTCGGTCGACCGAAACTGCTTCCTCCTTTGTTCTAAAACATTCTGTGAGAATCGGACGAGCCAATTCATTTGGCTCCTTAGATTCGGTCATCTGAAACTTCTTGAGAAGCTTTTCATTTTCTTAGTTCGGTAGACCGAACTGAGTTGGTCCTGTATTTCGGTAGACCGAAATACCTTAGAAGCTAAGTTTCACAGTCATTGATAGAACCGGTCGACCGGTTTAAGTTGTCCTTCCATTTCGGTTGACCGAAATGGAACTTCATCTTCAGGAACTTGTTTTGATGATATATTGAACTTGGTCCTATGTTCCTTAGACTTTATGGATGAGTTTCTATGCATGATTTTGAGAGTAAGAGCTTCAAGATGTTCATACATGCTTTAACAAGGTTTCCTAAAAAACTCACCATCCTAGCTAACCCCATTTGAAGAGATGTTGATGACTTGTCTTTGAGTCTTGATTCCATTGACTTGTTCTCATGCCTTCATGGTGCTTCTTCATTTTTGCTTTTCTGTGAAATGTCTTGACTTGATGATAGCTTAGATCTGTAATTTTACTCAAGATAGACATTAGTACACATAGAACATCATTAATAAATTATGATCATCAAAAGCCTTAGATTCAAAGTCAACAATTCAGATATAATCAAGGCCTGGAACCATTTTGTTAAGTTGATGTTTATCTCATATTTTTCTGCCAAGGAACCATACATTGAGAAATATCATATTATCTGACAATTTTCCATCTGTCATTTTTGTGTCTTTTAGATATACATACCAAAAATGGATTAAAAACAGCCCTGACCTAGAAAACAGTTAAAACAAGAATTAAACATTTGCTAAAGTCTTGTTTGGTTCAGTTTCTAGAAAACAGTTCTTAAGAATTCAGAAAATAGAATACAGTTCTCATATAACTAAAGAGGAGTCACAGGTCCTCATCGTGCCTCTCTGGCTTGTGTGATCAACCCTTAGGTCAGGAGTTCGAGGATTGGTAGAGAGAGAAGAGAGAAAAAGGAGTGTTCCCTGAATCTGACTCTCCCCTTTTTCCCCCCAAGAAAACATTGTTTAGAAAACTATCAAAAAAATAATCTTTCTAATTGATTTCTTTTTTTTTTTCTGTTTTAGGAGAACGTGAGTTTCATTTTTAGACAACCGAACAAAACATGTTTTAAATCTCACATCTTTTTCTTTGTTTCTCTCTCTCTCAATATATAGTATTTTGTATTTTGCCTTCAAAACAATTTTCATTTTACATTCCAAACACAACTCTAAGAATCAAACTTGATTGGACTTACGGGAAAGGTTTGAATGAATGTTATAATAACCATTCTTATTAGGGATTCTTAAACGCTTCCCTAACATAATCTAAAAATCCGTAAATTTGGTTAATGTGGACTAATTATGCAGTCACCAATAGAAAAGGACCTTTCAGAGTTATTTTCTGAAACAAAAAAAGTTCTCCCCTTTTTCTTTTTCTTTTTTTCAAGCTAACTGTTCAAAATATTTTCTTCAAACCTGTTTTAGGTGACCCTGGCGCACCTGCTTGTGTTGACTCCTAATTCTTCTATTATAGTCCTGAATAATCTAGCATGGATCTCCATTGCGGCATTGCATAATCGTTGTTTCTACTTGTTCTATTTTAAACCCCTTTGGAGTAAACTTTGAGTTGCGACAATGGTGACATGGGTGGGAAGAAGGCAAGAAAGTCAAAGGCTTGGATACCAGATTTAATTTCATTTCACACCCATGAGGCCAATTTATAGATACGTAAAATCCTAGAACCAAATAACACTCTCCTCCAAATAGAGACTTTGTTCCTAAAATCACTAGGGTACTTCGAAATTTGAAAAAAGCAGAACTATTGCTCCTAGAAAAATTCCTAATAAGACTTTTATGAAGCTATATCGGTAAGCAAATTGTCTTCTTAAGAGTTCTGCATCAACTTGAAGAACCAGTGTCATTTTGTTGGACAAAACTTTAGAGTTTTGTAATACTTTAGTAAATCTGAGACATTGTGCATATCTGTGCTGAACCCCAGAAGATTCAACGATCTAAAGAGTATTTTGACATAACCCTCTGGCATTTCAAAACACAAAATGAATTGAAACAGCGGAAAAAATAATATGTCAAACAGTGTTCAGTTTTTTATTGTAATTTCCCTAAACGATTGGTAGGCTCAATAATCCCTGTGAAGGCTCAGCTCTAAAACCAAACAAACATAATCTGTCTGCCATGAAATTTTCTTTGAAAGCATGGGGGAGAAACAATTTGTTTTAATTATATAAATAGAAATACAAGGAACAAAAATAGAAGAATTCCAAATGATGAGAAGGGAGAGAAAGAAGAATAAGACGGAGAAGAAAGCCTCAATCCTATATATATATTTTTTTTATAAGTAAGAATTTTATAAAAAAGCGCTCAAAGGGGAGCGAAACCCAAGGATACAAGAAGAAAAAACCAAAAAGAGCCTCAAGCCTTCAAAGAGGCCAAAAACATAACAATCTCCTCAACAGAACGATAATCTCTCCTTGAGACCCAACAAAAGAGAGTAGAAATAATAGAAAACTTAAGCATAGAAATGGTTCTCTCCTTGCCATCGAAGTATCTTCGATTCCTCTCGAGCCAAATGCACCACCAAACACAGAGAGGAGTAGCCCTCCAAGCATCCCGGATGAGCGCCCCAACAGAGACACCTCTCCAAACCTCAATCAACCCTCTAGAGGAACAAGGCATAACCCAAGGAACCCCAAACAACCCAATCATCAAATCCCAACAATCTCTGGCCATACTGCAATGCAACAGAAGGTGATCCACTGTCTCCTCATCACAACGACACAAGTAACAGCGATTGATAACCACCTGCATTCTCCTCCTCAAATTATCCTGGGTTAAAATCCTACCCAAGACAGACGTTCAATCGAAAAAGGCCACCTTAAGGGGAGCCTTGGAACGCCAAATAGCCTTCCAAGGGAAAGTGCCACCCTCCCCATTAGAAAGGCACCTGAAAAATGATCTCACCTCGAAACAACCCTGAGAGTGTGGACTCCAAAGCCAACAATCAGCCTCCTCATGAGAGATCACCTGACGATACAGTAACTCCAAAAAACGAGTGACCTCCTCAATTTCCCAATCCTGAAAATGCCTCATAAACTGAACGTCCCAAGTTAGTCTTCCGTTATCAAGGTGATAACAATCAACCACCAAGGCCTGCCTGTCAGAAGCAATCCTGTAAAGCCGAGGGAAAGAAAGAGCAAGGGGAAGATCCCCACACCAAAGGTCCTCCCAAAATCTGATCCTCCTACCATCCCTGATCCTAAAGCGAACATGATTACGAAAAACATCCCATCCCTTTCGAATGCAAGTCCAAACCCTCACACCCCTAGGACCACGCCCCTCAAGAGAACACCACCCACCACTGATTTCCCCAAACTTGCTGGCAATAACTTTCCTCCAAAGCCAAAGTCTCTCAACCCCAAATCTCCAAAGCCATTTCCTAAGAAGAGCCCTATTGAAAGGCAACAACCTTCGAATCCCTAATCCTCCACTCCGAAGGCAAACTCTCAATTCTCTCCGCCACCGAAGAAGGAATCTGAAAAAGGGAGATAAAATAGGTGGGAAGGCAAGAGAGAGTGCTCTTGATTAGAGTGACCCGCCCCCCTTTGGAAAGGTACTGCTTCTTCCAACCTGCC